CTAACATTTGTAGCAAAATGGGCAGGGGCTCCATTGTACCCAGACTTTGTAGACACCCTGTATATTTGGTGCGAACAAATTACTTCCATATGGGTTGTAAGATTTACTATCATTGGGATATCAGCTTTTGAACGAGCTTTTTTCTCAAATCATCTGCAAAAAGGTACTCCATGGAAAAAGTTGCTACTTATGTAGTACGTAGGTACCCATTGATTTTTGCTGCTGTTATGAATTCAAACTTGTTTTATGAATAAAAATCACAAGATCTTCAAAAGTCTTTTAAGTATAAACCTCTTTAAATGTATAAAATGTAAATAAGTACCAAATGAGTACAAGAAAGAATATTTATGCGGATGATTTATATTGAAATTTATAAGGCTATTTAAAATTAATGAGAAAACTGTATACTATTTAAATAAACATTTTACAGCTTTGTACATCCGCTTCTTTTGAATAAAAACGCAACTCCTATGAGGACGTTGTCCCTTCGAAATTGTCAATTACTGTTTGTAATCAGGAACATTAGCACTTGAAGGACGTTGTGAATACCAACATTTATCAGCTTGGACACCTGGGTTTCCAGACCGAAAAGTTAACGAAAACCTTGTCACTCGGTCAATCGTACCTCGAAAATCCCCCAGTTTGAAAAAAAATAGTTAATTCTCAAACAGTTGACTGGTTACTATACTAATTCTTAGAGCAAATTAACTTGATGCATACTTAAAAAGGCTATTAAAGCTGATGGAACTATGCCGTTTATACATACATTTGCTTCTATGGACATGAACTTCCTCAATTTAAGGTTGCTTACAAGGCGCGAATTTTCGCTCTTTCCAGACCAAAGCAACACTCGTCGCAATATCTATTTTGGGCCTGCATTTCACTGAAATGGCTAAATATAAATGTAGTATTTTGGCCGAAAAAAATTGGGGCAATTTCCGTATTTTAAGAATATTTTCTGTGAAGTTACGCGCCCATCGAGAGGTAGGCCGTCTATCGGAATGTGTTGCTAGAATGCTAGAGCTTCACAATAAGATGCAAACAATCGATTCCTGAGGTAGATCATTTCTGTGTCTTTTAACGTGACTGACGTAGGGAGAAAACAGTGAAAGTGAAAGTCAAAAGGTTGTTTTGGCGACTCACAATCGATTTTCCCGAAACGAACGTACGAGGAAGACTGGTTCGTGGACAGACAGGTGTGCAGCCTTTAGATCAATTGAAGGCATCGCCGACGGTAAAACAACCAAGCCAGGCGTGAATCTACGCCGAGAATTGGATGCCCCGGACTCCGAAGTGTTGCTTAAATTAAGCCCACTTGTCGAGGCTGACGTCTCACCACCTAGAGAGAAGACGGCGAAGGCAAATAGGAGGATTAAGGGAATACAAGCGTGAGATTTTTGAGGGTGATTGTCAAGGAAGTAGTAATGGTAGCAGAATTTGCAATGTGAAATGCTGTTTCAGAAACTTAAAGCATTTTTTCCATGGTATGCGACTCAGCCAAGTTGTCTGTAGATGTACAATAAACACTAATTAAAAATTTTGGGTGCAATTTTTCAGCAAATCACGCAGTAGCTCGGGCGATATGTGGGTCTCGGACGCATAGAACACCATTCGTTGTTTCGTCTATGGCTATTGAGCATTTGCTGAAAACGGCTTTTAAAATAGGAAAATAAATTACTTCGGTCATTGATTACGAAACATCTCCTCGGTAGCGGTCACTCTGTTGACACCCAAAAAACCTTCAGAGTACTTGTTCGGACAGGAACGACCTAGACCTTACGCTGTTTGGAAGCAACCTATATACGGCGGGAGAAATCCGACCTATGCATCCGGTTAGTTTCCAATTACCCTAGTAATCGTCATGCCTTAGATTCACTCACCACGCTGGTGTGTGTTAATCTACCCTTCCCTTTCTCTTTCCCATACTGAGGTTTTAAGGCATTATTTTAGTCGATCAATCTCTCTAGTGAACAATGACAATGTAAATTCAAATCGTTCTCTGTCTTTATATTCGTTATCTACGTTATCCATAGACGGGTTGCAGTTGATGAGCCGTCACGGAATTTATTAGAGCCAATAAATCCAGCTGTGCAAGCCTGCTCAAAAATTCAAATGCTGTCTCTAAATGGTTACCTTTAGAGCCCATGGGCATATCGATCATCACCAGACAACCGAGTAGGGACTGATAACCCAAGGGTTTCACCTGACCAGGGGAACCCAATGGGTTGGTGGCCGACTGTTGTTGTTTTGTGGACACTTTTTCCGCCTCCTTTGCCACCTTTTGACGAGAAGGCGTTGAAGTAGCCGG